TCGTGTGTATTATATGAGTATATATATATAAACTGCAAAGTAAACTAAACTATAACGAATTCAAAAACAAATCGCACTTGGCCAGTTGTAAATCGAATTAACAAAAGAAAAACAAACGCTACGTTAAGTTCATTAAATTGTATTAAATGAAAATGAAAATCGAAGGAAATAATTTGATGGAAACGTATGTAAGTGAGAAAACTGTAACTAAATCTAGACTTATTTGTTAGTTTATATAATATATATATATACACACATATATATATTTCCATTAATACACAAGAAACGAATGCAAACTGTAAGGCAGCGAACGTACCAAGGATGTTTAATACATTGTTTCGTGAAACAACTAATGTATTTTCAATAATATTTAAATAATATTAATAATAAACAGAGCATAAGTAATTTTAGTAACTATAGAAAATGTTTAAATGAAATTACAAACGAAAATAAATAACAAAAATCAGCATAAATTTAATTGTGGTATTTGTTGGGATTTTAAATTTTAAATTACGCGCCCTGGATTCACTGTTAAGGGAAAAGTTACTTTCTAATTTCAAATTGAAGACTGCGCGCCCACTTCAATGTTAAGGCAGTAGGGTAATTTATTTGCTTGGCAGCACTGTTGAAGCGCAGCCAACTTCAAGTGTGTGCTCAACTTATGTGAGCAAATTTGTGCGTGCAGCCAACTTCAAGTGAGCGCAGTATTGCGCACAGCCAACCTCGCGTGAACAGCACATAAATAAGCTGGGAGGTTGTTGCTTATTCTGATTTTAAATAATATTGTAAATAATAAATATTTATAGCAATGTCTATCGCTAAACGTGTGCAGGTTTGTATTGATGTAATGTGTGTGTGTGCATATTATAATCGAGCGTATTGTTCACAGCAATGGGCTACATTTGCGCGTACCTGGCACATATACGATTGCACCTGGCAAAATCCTTTCGAGTCCGCTCAGCTGGTTAAAACACATTTGATGGGCCTACATAAGCCCATTTACCATCCAATGAGTAAGTATAATTCAGCAATGATATGATTTAATATAGTTTTAAGTGAAAACGTGTGAAAAATCAAACCGCGAACTGCTGTGCGCTTCGTTACGTCACAAGCGCCTGCATTGTTAGTGTTGTTGTTGTGAAGCATTTGCCGGCTGAACGAAGAATTGAATGAAGAATTGTGAATCCCGTGGTCAGTTCTAGGTTAGCTTTATACTAGTATGCTCCAAGCTAAACTTAATCGACATTGTTTTTGTAGATGACTGCGGCGACCATGTGGTGGTAATCAATACGAAAGAAATAGCACTGCCCGGCGATGAGTGGGTGAAGCGGGTCTATTTCCACCACACCGGCTATCCAGGTGGCGCGTCCTGGACGTTGGCCTGGCAGCTGCACGAGAAGGATCCCACGATGGTGATGAAAAAGGCTGTTTACAATTCCATGAGGGGCAACCTGCAGCGCAGGTACACAATGCAGCGATTGCATCTGTTCGCTGATGACCAGGTGCCAGAGGAGATTCTCACGAATGTGACAAACCAAATACGCACACCTCGCACAGTGCCCCAGCGATTGGATCATATTGATAAGGAAACACTAGAGAATTTCCCCGCCATTGTGGATTATCCCAAGGACTATGTGTTGCGATAAGACGAATACTAAGGGTATTGTTAAGCAAAATATAATATTGTTATTTACACATTTAAGTGTTGGATTTTATTGTCTGGCCAGACCAATTTGCTTGAATACCACTGGTTTTCCATATTTGTAATCTACAAATGCACATATAATTTTTTTTTCTGCCCAATTTGAATGGCAACGAAATATATTTCAGCATATCGATACCTATGATAACGCTATCGATAGCGTTTGCGTAGCCCTGGTTTGTTTTTTATTTTCGTCTGCCGGCAGACAGCAGTGAATTGCATTAATACTCAATTTTTAAGCAACGCCCACTCAATTTTTAACTGGTGTGATCATCAATAATTGCGTTTTAAGTATTCCGCAAGCGCAACACCTGGTGAGAGTTGAATTAAATATCGCTCTGCCATACCTTCTCGCACCTTTCGAACACTTGTTTGAGACTTACAATCTTATCTTTCTCTCTCATTTTCCGTTGATTTGCTTGCAGTCACCACACGAACCTTGTGCACGACACATCTGCAGAAAGAGTCTCAGCATTCGCAGCTTTTGCCCATTTATCAGGTGAGAAAACGTAATATGGGTCGTTTGAGCAGCGTCGATCCCAGCTCCTACTCCGAGCCGGAGAAGATAACCACGGAACACACCGCTATCCACTGGAATGTGGATTTCGAGGCAACGAAGCTGCGCGGCAGTGTACTGCACAAATTCAAAGTGCTGTCCAGCAACCTGGAGAGCATTGTAAGTAAATTGGCACTAAATCTTTATAGTGTAACTAATTGGATATATTTTAATTAACTAGCTTCTGGATGTACGTGACATTGATGTGAAAAATGCCACGTTGCTAGCTGGTGGGTCGGAGCTGCCTATCAATTACTTCATCAGCGATCCCGTGCCTGATGTGGGCCAGAAACTTACTCTGGAGTTGCCAGCCGGCACAGCGAAGGGCAGGTAGGGTAGCACTCGATAAGCCCGCTAGCGTGCTAATCTATATAGCGCCTGTAAATAATGCCACTTATAATCGTATCTATATCGCGCAGTCTTAACGTACGCATTGATTACGAGACGGCTAGCAACGCGAGTGGGCTGCAGTGGCTGAACCCCAACCAGACCTTGGGCAAGCAGCATCCGTACATGTTCTCGCAATGCCAGGCGATACACGCTCGCTCCGTGATGCCCTGCCAGGACACGCCGGCTGTGAAGTTCACCTATGATGCCATCGTGGAGCATCCCAAGGAGTTGACCGCTCTGATGAGTGCTCTGATCGATAAGAACGAGCCGGGCAAGACGTACTTTAAACAGGAAGTTCCCATACCAGCGTATCTGGTTGCCATCGCCATTGGCAAACTTGTGTCCCGCCGCTTGGGCGAGAACTCGAACGTGTGGGCCGAGGAGGCTATCGTCGATGCCTGCGCCGAGGAGTTCTCGGAAACATCTACTATGCTGAAGACCGCCTCCGATTTGTGTGGACCGTACGTGTGGAAGCAGTACGATTTGCTTGTGATGCCGCCCTCATTTCCATTTGGCGGCATGGAGAATCCTTGCTTGACCTTTGTCACGCCCACTCTGCTAGCGGGCGATAAGTCCTTGGCGAATGTGGTTGCCCACGAGATCGCGCACAGCTGGACGGGGAATCTTGTGACCAACAAGAACTTTGAGCATTTCTGGCTAAACGAGGGCTTCACTGTCTTCGTCGAGTCCAAGATTGTGGGTCGCATGCAGGGCGCCAAGGAGCTGGACTTCCGCATGCTCAGCAACCTCACCGAGCTGCAGGAGTGTGTAAGTAGCTTCTACTAACTATTTTTTTTTTTTTTTCATTTACCATAATCATTAATTTCTGTTCTGCAGCTACGCACTCAATTGGCTGGCACACCGGAGCTTACACGACTCGTGGTGGATTTGAGCAACTGTGGGCCGGATGATGCATTCTCGTCTGTACCTTACATAAAGGGCTCCACATTCCTGCGCTATTTGGAGGATTTGTTGGGAGGCCCCACGGTCTTTGAGCCCTTCCTGCGCGACTATCTGAAGAAGTTTGCTTACAAGTCGATTGTCACAGATGATTTTAAGGGCGCTCTGTACGACTATTTCAAGGATACGGACAAGAAGGATAAACTGGGCCTTGTTGACTGGGAGTTGTGGCTGAAGTGCGAGGGCATGCCGCCGATTATACCAAAGTACGTCGAATAGATTCAATGAGAGACTATAGACAGAAATATTTGACATTGAATATTATTTTCAGATTCGATGAGTCCCTTGCAAATGTGACCAAGAATCTTGCCAGCCAGTGGAGCACAAAAACTGTGGATGAACTGGCCAAGAGCACGGACATTAACCAGCCCATTTCCATACACCAGTTGATTGAGTTCCTGGGCAAACTGATTGAGTGCAAGGACATTGTGGAGCTAAACGAACGCAAAATCGAGCTACTGGAGAAGACATACGATCTGAAGAAGTCGAGGAATGCCGAAGTGCGCTTCCGTCTCAATCGCTTGATCATACGTGCTCGCTTGATCAAGCGCCTGGACGAGATCATCGAGTTTGCCAATTCGAACTTCCGCATGAAGTTCTGCCGTCCCATCTATCGGGATCTGGCCGCGTGGCCAGAGGCCAAGCCGCGGGCAGTGGACAACTTCCTCAATGTCAAGGACCAAATGATGGCTGTCTGCTCGCACACCATCGAAAAGGATCTGGGCCTGAAGTAAACCCAAATTGCATTTAATAAAGTTCAACTTGAAGCTGTTTTCGAAAACCCATGAAAAAAGACTACAAAATTAACAAAAAATTTCAGTATATACATTATTCTCTGGCTTTTCTTGAATTATTGTTTTTATTAAAAAATAAGCAAAACTACGTTTATAACAAGTTGATTTTCCATTCCATGCTCATCGTATGCGACTCTTTTAAATGTATTTTGTCATCTCTCAAATTGAATTTTATGCATTCCGAATTTGTCGTAAAATTTTGTGTATTCTTAAATTTTTTTTTTTTTTACTATTTTTTGTGCAATTGGCCCAAAGCATTGCCAATTTTTTGTGTTCTTCACATTCAAATTAGGGATATTTCTCTCAATTTTCGTAATCCGTTTCGACTAACATTAAATTTTGTACAACTAACCAAATGTTGCTCAAGTTTTCGGGTCCTATGCGACAAATATACTTTGAATGCCTTTTAACTTATTTATATTCCTTTGTTATATATTTTGTTTATCTGTTTGTTGTTCATCTTGATTTAAATTCTTTAAAGTTCTGCTCGTAAATACACACACACACACAGATATTAAATTTATTATTGTTTTTGCTTGCATTTTGTTTTTCAACTTTACGAGTTTTGCTTTTACTTTTTGTTTAAACTAATCAACAATTTGTTTTGTTTTTAATTTCTTCTCTCTTTTGTTTTGTTTTGTTTGTTTTACATTGACCAAAATGCAACCTCAACATTATTGTTGTGGACAAAGTGTTTGTTATATAAATTTGTTGTTGCTGTTGTCGTTGAGGAATAAAAACTATCACGCACTAGAATTATCATTGGAACGGGATGTGGATGGACCGGCACCCAGATCGTCTCCCACAACGAACGTGGGACTCTGGCGGGACGTGGACGTGGCAACCGGCTGGTAGTGATAGCCCTCGCGATAACGCTGATTCGGTTTTATCCGTGCGGTTTGTGTGTGACCCAATGTCGGACGCTGATTAAGCTCATTGGGTCGTTTGGCTGCAAACGACAGAAGGCGAGAGTTTTACGATTGGTAACAAATTATTAGATTAAACATCAAATTTAAATAGATTTAGAATCTATATTCTATTAATTAAGCTTGTTCATATATGAAATGCTTTCAAATCAAAGCATGTCCACAGAAAACGCAAGCGCTTATTGCAAAACAAAAAACTATAGCATACTTTTGGGCTGCGCAGTATTTAAGCATAACTCAATATATCTGTTATATGTAAAGCATTATCTGTTATAATTTATATATATATATTGCATTATTTTATATATATATTGCATTATTTATGAGTGGGGCCTTAAGCACAAGCAGTTAAGAAAATGTTCTTTTTAAGATAATACTTTAGCATATAAAAATCATCTAGATTTTCTGTATCGATCTACATTCAAGCATTAGTAATGTTAGGAGCTAGCATATATTTTAGCACTATAATTTTAGCACTATGGCGTAGTCGTCATAGGGCTTAATCTAAGAATCCTGTGGATCTTGTTAGCTAACTTAACATACAGTAATAGCTGTAACCAGCTCGATTCTACACAGTTAAGTTCTGAATGTATGTGAGAGGCATTATCTCTATTGTAAACTTTTTCTTCTTCCTCATCTTTGTACATTTCGAATTTGTTAACTCCCAATATAAGATTCGCGGAGTACCTGTATATACATATATGTATATAGAGTTAAATCTATTCATTAAAATCTACTACATGTGGAATCTACAATTGATATCGAAAATGTCTGTTACTGATCTATATGTTCAGTACATCATATCGCATACATATACATATTCCTTCATAAAAGTTCTTATACACATCGCATTAGGTACTATAATACCAGTACTATAGCAAAGTATAATTTATTATGGCTTAACAATTACTTTTGAATCATATACTCATATCTGTAAATCTACTCAGTTTTAATATACTATGAACACCTAATCTTCTACTTGATTCAAGTCTGATGAATAGAGTGGAACTTTGGGCTTTTAAAATTATTCCCATCAATATGAATATACATTTCTGTGCTATTAGATTTGGGTTTCTATCAATTCCAAACTCAATCTCGACGCTGCAACTCACCAGGTATATAAGGCTTTTGATTATAGGACGATTGTTGTTGTTGTTGTTGTTGGTTGTATGCATCGGGCGCCGTTGCATTGCCATTGGTCTGGCTGCTGTGCTGATAGGGCGTCAGATTGTGGCCAGTGTCTGGCTGTAGCTGGAGATCGGTGCTGGTGATGGGGCTCATCGGCGTCATTTCGCGATCTTCGATGAACAGTTCGCTGGCATCGTCGGGCACCTGGCGATACTGGGACCAGGGCCAGGAGGCGATGCCCGATAGGACGAGCGCCTCCAAGGCGCAAATGTAGCCAATTAGCTAAGGGAAAGTAAACGCAAATTAAGAGAATCCTTAATGGAGTTTGGAGCTGCTTACGCCTGTGGCTAGTAACGTGTCCTTGGAGTGCTTGGATACCCAGGAGTACTCGGTCGCATAGAGCACCATGTGGACGAGCAGCGTGGAGCTCAAAATAAATATTAAACCAATGCTCAGGTACATCCACGTGTTCTAGAGGAAGAATGGAGAGATTAGCTCTTGTGTAGAGAGAGGAAGAGAGGGAGAGGGACTACGCATACGCACCACCTTCGTCCAGTTGAATGGGAACATTAGCGCTATGTGCGATATATCGAGAAAGATCATGAGGCATGTGATGAGTAGCGAGAAGAGCGCACAGAAGACCATCAGCCTGAGGCGCCCGATGAGTGGCAGTAGAAAGAGGCCCACCTGAACGGTGCCCGCGGAGCACTCGCAGGCAAGGCAGACGGCCGAGGATAACTGCAGGGCATATCGCAGGATAATAAATAAACTGGTTAAGAACTGCTCAGATGATGCTAGTCTCTGGCCATGGCCACGGCTTACCACCAGTAGTATGCGCACAATCCCTGTAGGCGTTTTCAAGTGTTGCGGATCACAGTGTAGGGCGACGCCCCATGGCAGCGGCGTTTGCTGTTGCTGTTTGTAGTTGGCGTGCGAGTCCCAGGAGGTGCACGTGCCCAGCGGCGATTCGAGTGAGAGCGAGAGCTCGCCGGCTCTGCTGCCAGCTATTTCAAAGTCCTGCTCATCGTCCAGCTGACAGCAGACCGGCTCCAGCTCCAGCTCACGTATCTCGTCCAGCAGCAGTTCTATCTCGTCCGTGCCATATAGATCAGATACAGACGGTATATAACGTTGGGGTTGTTGCATTGCCCGTTGCGGGATGTGTCCCACATCACCGTTGCGTGGCCTGGGCGTACAAAATTTGATGCCTGCGGCGCCGTTCTATCGCGTCCACGACTGGCTCGCCTCTGCTCCAACTTTTGCTCTATGCGTGGCCGTTGCCTGCGCCTGCAAAGGAATGACAGTCGGTTAAGCATCGGCTATATTGATTATGGCGAGATTATAAAAGTTGCTTCCATTCACGTTACTCATGCGCCGTGTTGGCTAGTCCAAGAGGATTGACTACGAGAGAGGGCAAGCAGCTATACGAGGGACTGAAGTGTCTATTATGAAAAGCTTGCTTGAGCGCAAACGAGCCAAGGGCATATTGTAGTGCACCTCAAGCTATATCTTATCGGAATATATATCAATCAACAAAAAATATTGTATGCCAAGGGCGAATTGTGATGCATCTTTAAATACTTCCGTTACCAATCAACAGCAAAGATTATATTTTGTTCTAAATATTATGAATAATAGTTGCATTTTCCTGAATATCCTGAAACATATTCAATATTTGAAAAATCTGGCCTTAAGGCTGCTGTCTTTATATATTTTATTTTGATTATTGAGTGGAGCCAAATCATTCATTCATAAGATTGCAAACATTTTCATTTGTATTAAATAATATAATAATTTAGTCGACTATTCAGCTAAGTTGTATATCAGTTATTAAAATTATTTTATGAATTTTATAAGGAAAACTTAATTTCATATATGCACATGTTTATTTAATTATTTAAATCAATATATGTACATATACATATGTATATATTATATGAATATACATAATATATTTATATATTTTATTAATGTGGCCTTCGCAAAGCGAAAATTTTATAAAGAAAACTCAATTTTATATGTGCACATGTTTATTTAATTATATAAATAAATATATACATGTATATATGTACATTATATTTTGCTGCACACTGAGCAACATTTGTAATTCATGAGGCTAGCCATAAACCGTAAGCCGTGCCAGCATTTTCTCATTTGTCTCAACATGTCAAGCATTCCGATTCCATGCTGTTGCATATTTAATTGGCAATTGTAACAAATACTAGCATAGTGCACACAGAAGGAAGCTAATGTGCTGGCATATTTAGCACATTTGATAGCAGTTTGGTATTTGGCAGCACTGTTGCGTATGTAGCTGTTCGCTGAACGAAAACTATTTCCATTTCGAAATATTTCGCTGGAATCGAGTCATAGATAATCATCAGTGAATACCATAAGCCACGCAAGAGCATTTAAGCGCCGACCTCACCTCCGCAAAGCCACATTGGGTTTATTTGGATGTTGTCTGATTTTTATTGTGATACGAGCCGAGTTGTGTCAGCTGGCTCAGCTGGCTGCCAACTCGAAATGAAATCAAATTGAATTTCGACCTGGCCCCTGCGCGTATGCACGATTTTTTTTTTTTATGTCACACACCCAGGCAATTAACACAGAGGCAAAGCAAATGTGTGTGTGTGTGGGTGTGTGGGTGTGATGTGATGTGATGTGCTGTGACGCCTGCCTGAAAGCAACTCCATGGAGAATTTTTGGTACATTTCAGGCCCTGCCAAGAGCTGACTGGCTGGCTGGCCGCATTTCCTTGAGTTGTCATAATCAGGACACAAATGAAGGTAGCTTGTCATTGCTGTTGTTGCCGCACAAGGACTCGCTGCTGGCAGCGGGACAGCTAAAAGTGGGCAGCTGCAGCTGGCTGGCCAGTCAACCTGCTGCTGCAGAGGATGCCACAGGCAGCTGCCTGCTGCACATATGCGATGCACTGTGTGTGTGTGTGTGCGAGAGTCGACAGGCAATGTAACCATTTGTGCTCTCGTTCGTTGTTTGAACGTGAAGTTGTTGTCGCTGCTGTGGCGGCTGCTGCCACCGTTGTCCTTGCTCCAGTTTCGGCAGCAGCATCAGCCTCTCTCTGCCCCTCTCCTGCCCCACACACAGCTGCTCTGACTGCTTATCTGTGCCCTGTTATCGCTGCAGATATGCAGTGACTGCATCAAGTGCCTAATGAGTGCGCGCTCGCCTTTCATCACATCTTTCATACCCATCATCATCATCCCCATCATCATCATCAACATCATCATCTTCATCTACAGACGTGCTCTATCTATTGAGGCAATGCGCTTATAGCATTAAGCTCTTCAGCCATAGACAATGCTCGCCTGCCCACCCCATCCGATGTCTGTCTGTCAGGCTTTTTTGCACAATTTGAAATCAATTATGCTCATCTGCATATAAACTGACTTGCCTGGGCTCGGTGCAAGGGCTTCTGCCACTCTGATCCGGACAAGAAGGGGGGCGGTGTCGCCTGCAGCGCCACCTAGCGGAAGTGCTTTGCATGCAAATTTATTGTCAATGCCTCATTCGCTGCGACTTCCACTTCGACTTCGCTTCGATTCGGGACACCAAATGGGCGGGGCCACAGCTGTGGGCTGGGGGCTGGGGGTTCATTTGAGGTGCCAACGCTGCTGCATTTCTTATTTATGAACGTGCATAGACAATGCTCGGCCTTTGTTTGAGTTTGTGCTCATATAACTTTTTCTACATAGACATACATATATGTATGTACATATATAGGCATGCATGTGTGTGTGTGTCTATACATGCATATGTATGTATGTCTACTCGAGCCAGTCAGCCTTTGTCGCATTCAATGGACCGAAAGTTGCACCGTAAATAACTTTTAATAGAATTTCTAATGGGCTGCTATTTGGGCGTGGGGCCAAGCCACACACACACACACACACACACACACACAGACATAGATCTGATATTTTTGTTGACCATATTTTCATATAACAATAATATGCGGATATGTTTGTGCAATCAATCAAGATTTTACTTAGGCTTTAATGTATTTTAATATTTATTTAATTGATTTTTGAAATGAAAATCTTGTTGAATTTAGGCTTAGTCTTCCTTAGACATTTTCTGCTGCATGGTCTTATGATTTCATTTCAGCTTAGTTTTTGTAGATGAGCCTCTTGTCACTTAAGCTGGCTTAGCTTTTGACGTCAAGGCTCAGCTGAGCTGATGGGAAAACAAAGTACTTTTATTTTGTCACATGGGATATACAGCGTATATACTTACTATATAATATATACTTGTATATAATATTGCCTTTAACAAGAGATTTTGTCAGTTATGCTTCATCAATTATCAGCAATATAGTAATAGTAATAATACTAATAAAAATATTAAAGTAGTAAAAATCAAATAAAGATTCACACATACATACATATCAAAGATTCCACATTGAATAGCACTGATACCTATGACCTTTGGCTACTATACATGCACACGCTTTCCTTAACTATAAGAGACTCTATAGATTTATATTTTACATTATGCTAATAAATCGTCAGCTCAACTCCATTCAGTAAAGGCTCGAAAAGTTGCTTCAGAGCTGAGCTCAGCAGCAATGCTTAAATCCCCTTCACATATTTAACTTTTTAACATTTATGCAATTTTAATGGAATTGAAACTTGATTATTTATAGTAAATCTATTCAAATTTGTTTGGGCTAACAATGTGTGCTTTGCTCTATGATAATATCAATGAACCGAGTTGACCTGTGGCAACTGCTGCCACTCATCATCCATACGCCGTGTGTGCGTTGGGGCAGCATCGAATGCTGTGGAGCAGCGCGATTTATGCATTCAGTCGGCGACTCTGAAACCTCGAATTGCGTATAAATTTTAGCTGAAATATGGCCATTTTTTTTTTTTTTTGTCTACTATGAACTGTAAACTTTCGGACTTGTGGACGGTGCTGGACTGTGTGTGGCCTGGCCTGTGTAATGCCGTGCAGACGACAAGACTCTCGGCCCAAATTCTCAATGGCGACGCTCAATGCGGAAGATATATACATACACACATATACATATATGTATGTGTGTGTGTGTGTGTGTAGAGGTCGCCGGACGGCGGGCTGATCGGCAGGGGTTGGGGCTACGCTACGTCGGCTTAGCTAGCAGTTGCTGTCGGATTGGCGCTCTGCCTGCCTTATTATGCCGCCGCGTCACCCTAGCCCGCAGCCCCCAGCCCCCAGCCCTAGCGGAATTATCGATTACGAATGAATATTTCATTAGCAGACGTGCAGCACAGACAGAAGCACTAGGAGCAGCAGCAGCGCGGGCCACGCGGGGCACCGTCAGCGCTTATGCTGACTTCATTGGCTTCCGTTTCCGTAGCCGTCGAGGATTCCGGGTCGCGTTCAATTAAAATGCAGCGCACTCTGCAGCTGCCAACTTTTCTCGCCTAAAACATAATGCATAATGATTTTTTCGTTTCTTCATTGCAGACTTTACATAATTATTCCCGCTGGGTAATTAATGCAGCGCTGCAGCGTGGGAGGAGCAGTTGCCAAATGAGTCTCAGGATGACTCGACACGGGCAGGTAGCAGTGGCAGAAGCTTAAGTGTATTCCATTGAGGCTAATAGATGGCCAAGTAGCCTCTTCATTTTTAATGGAAATTAGTTTTTACTGCATTTTGTGGAACTCTCCATTAAGCATGTAAAATGCAAAATAAAGCGTTGCAGTTGATAACAAATATTTTTGTATTTTTGTTGACCATTAACAGCAGAGTCGCGCAATGTAGACATGCAATTAACATTTTGTACGTCTGCACACTTTATAGACAATATATATTCTACATAAAATTGATTGAATTTTTCAGCAATATTCCTGAATGCAGTCCAATGGAGATCGTTCACTACTAACGTCTCTCAGTGGCAGCGGATTCAAGCCAATCTGACCATCAATCAAAGTTAACATCGCCTGGACCGCTGGGAAGTCTGATGAGCCATTTTTAGAATACAAAAAATATGTTGGCCCTCATGCCGTAAGCTCTAAATACGTTATAATCTAAGACAGTAAGTCCCACAAAATGTAACAGCATATATTTATGTATAACTAATCATAATCTACTTTTATGTACAACTAATCATAATCTACTTTAATAATTGTAATACATGTCAAATGTAATACTTCAAGAATACCAAATAAAACATGTGAAATCATAAAAAATACACGGTCTTCTTATTTACGGGTGGAAAAAATAATAATTAGCAGTGGGAAATTGCTTGATGAGCAGTTACTAAAAGTAAACAAACGCGATCAGCGTTGAGTAGTAGCAGCAGGAGAGAGCGAAAAATGAGCAATGCTCATTAACAGTCCATAACAGTGTGCTGTTATGATAACATAAAAATGTTAGTTAACATAAAGTTAATAATTTGTTAACATAAAGTTAACATTTTGTTAAAAGAATCATGTTAACTAATAGAAAAAATGCAAGTCACTATGAACAAATAATTTTCGCGCCCTCAGCGGCCAGTGAGGAGCGCATTTTAGCTCCACATTTTTCTGAAGTACCAGGCGATCAGAAATCAATAGTAGGGCGACAAATTGTAGTTAACAGTGCACTGTTAATTTAACATTACATTAACAGAATTATGTAAACTAACAGTTTTCTGTTACTCTCCTGTTAAATAACAGACTCATAACAGTGCACTGTTAATGTACTGTTAATGGGAATTTTTCACCCTGCTACTCATTTCTGATCGCCTGGTATTTTGGATAAATGTGGAGCTAAATTTCGCTCCTCAGTGGCCGGTGAGGGCGCGAAAATATTTTGCCATGAGTGACATGCATTTTTTTTATTAGTTAACATAATTCTATTAACAAAATGTTAACTTTATGTTAACAAATTCTTAACTTTATGTTAACTATTAATTTTTACTTTTTTACCTTTTCAGCCAAAAAGTATGCAAAGTGAAGTAAGTCAAAGTATGCAATGGATGTTTCCCCCATAAACAGTGGCAAAGAATATTGTTTCTGCTGCCCATCTGTTCTTCGTTTATAACTAATTTTAATTTTAATGCCTTAAGTTTCTGCTAAATAGATTATACAAATAAAAACCTATAGTAAATATAGATTATCAAACAAATCTTTATATGACAGATTTATAGATTTGCGTAGAGAAGGTAAAACCTTCCAAGTGCTCGACCCAAACATTAAGAGAGACTAATGAAACATATACATTCATTTACATGAATTAATAGTCTCTCATTTATTTGATAGTTTGGGTCGCTTTAATGGCAAGCAGGGCATACAGCAGAGGGTACAGCGGTATTATTTACCACGCCCATCTACTGCGCCAGTGGGGTCAAGTTTTATGCACATATATTGAACAACACATTCATTATTTCTTGTTATGTGTAACATTTTTGATATATCTTCTATGTATTTATAGCTATAATATGTTATAGAGCTATAGTACTGACGACTTTCCACGATTCGAGCAGAATATCCCAAAATATCTGAATACTCTATAAATTAAAGGTAGCAACGGTTACGAGTGCCTGACTTTGATTTGCGGTTAGCTACGTAAATGGGCCCAAAGACCCCGTTCTGGCCCACCTTCTGGCCACGTTTCGTGCTCAGTTGATGGCCATAATTGCGAATGCTAATAAATAATCAATTACCTTGGCAAATAGCTGTTTAGTAAACAAGGCAATAAATTAAATATAAATAATAATTACATCAATAAAATAATTATGCGCAAAGAAAAGAGAGAAGGGAAAACCAAATACAGAGTAGGCTCTGATAACCCACTCGGCCGAGCTGTACGTGTGTTAGCCCCAACGTTTTCATAGTCATAGTTCAACACTGGCTTTCTCGGACAACACTTCTACTTTTTCTCTAAAAATCCAAAAATATTTTCAGAGCAGAAAATTTCAATTCGTTTTTTTTTTTCTCTTTAGTTTAAGTTTTAAAATTTTTTAGTGTAATAAAATTATAGATATATATTTTTTCTGTATCTGCTGGAAATGAACAAGCAACAGGTAAAGTATATGAAATTCCTAAATAGATATATAGAAGTTATATAATCCCATCGACAGTGTGAATTGTACCCGCGTGTAAGACGTACGGAATATTACCGTACACCCGAGCCGAGAGTTTCGATTCAGAGTCGCAAGGCCGAACATCCCAACAGGGAAAGGGAGTCGCCGAGAAATGCAACTCCTGTAGCACCCCATATCATGCCCGCTCAGACATCGCCTATGCGGGTGCAACGCGACAGCTACTTTTCCTAGGACGGTCGACTGCGGTTTGGTTGGTTCGCAGTCTCACGTTTTGATAGTACATGTTTTGTATTTGTCTTCCTTTTAAAAATTGATAGTGGCACTTTTTTTTTTTCGTACATAATAAAAGTCGTAACGTAAAATCCAAATTTCAAGTGGTTATATATTCCCAGTTCCGACTGGGAGCCCAAAAACAGCTCTTGTGGATAAGACTGATGTAAACTTTGTTTCAATTTGGTTTATATTATATTAATCAGGTTCTAGCAATGCCATTTGACGGCACTTTACGGGGTCTACCAACTGTTTTTAGTACAATTTCCCCATATGAAATATTAGAGATATAATAAGTCCAACCCAATGTCGTCTGGAAGGTGTCGTAATACAAGTTGTATACATTTTTATGAGACACATTGAGAGTCCCTGATAGGTAAGTGAGTTGCTGAAGTCTGCTTAGCCGTCATTATGTATCATAAATGAGTTATTCTGTACCATTTGTAGCATCTATGTATGCATAAATTAACATTAAATGAGTTCAACAAAGGAACAAACACCCCAAGCACAGTTAATTAATCCCATTTTAATCAAAACTTGAGATCTGCGTACAACTTGCACGTATTTTATTCATATTCGTAATATCCTTTGGGTAATATATTATTTCAAATACATCAGACAATTAAATACGCGCTACTAAACAGGATGTGAGGGATATGCATATGTGTGTGACTGTGTGCGTATGAAAGGATGCTCTTGACAGATCTATTAGGGACTCATTAGGCTTGCGCCTCGGCAAGCTGTTGCCAGCGCTTGTTAATTCCCGAAAAAAAAGGTGCTCAACACTAATGATAGGCAGCTGCTGCTCTGCCGCTCTGCTGCTTACGTAAGCTCCTAACGGGATATTTAGTGAGCTGTGTGTGAGTGCTTGAGTGTGAGTGTGAATGTGTGCGTGTGTTATGCATATCATTGGTTTATATGTGTTTATGCTCGTCTCGCTGAAATGAACACCGCAGTGGCTGTTGGCTGTAGGCTGTTGTTTGGGGCACACCTGACACGTGAGCTCCATAACGGAGGCCTCGACATGTCATGGACGTGAATGCCGCGACACGCAAGCCCCAAGTCCCAAAGCGAGCCCAAGCGAACGTTTTCACTTTCGCCACACAAATCTTCGTTTTGCGCTTTGTTTAATGCGGGCATTAAATTAAGAGTGGGATGCCCTCAGTCGCTCTCTCCCTCATTCTTCCTCTTCCTCTGCCTCTGCATCGTGCACGCTCTTCCCTGTCTTGGTGGTCGGTGCAACAACCTCGTTTAGCTATTTGATTGCTGCATGTGGCTCGGGCACGACCTTGAACCAGTTTTGATTTCTAATTTTGGGGGCTAGACGACTTGGAGCGCAAGTTGGAATAACTTTGGCTGTCATCGCATGTAACTGCCAGGCAAGCGCCTACTCTATTAATAATGACCGAAAGCCTAACTGCAACTTAATTGCACACACAAGTGGCTGGGGCTATACAATCAAGTGAGTGGGAGGGCCTGTGTGTGTGTGTGTGTATGTGTAGCTACTATGACAGCAACTAAAAATAAACAAAAGAGCCAAGCACCCAAAAGCTGTAATATGAGCAGAATAAAGAACTGTGAGTGAGAGAGTGAGAGAGAGAGAGCGCGCTGTGCACGCTGTAGCTGGAACAGAGCGAATTGACAGGAGCGAATTGAAATGAGCGAATTGAAACGAGCGGCTGCGTACAGAGCGAAAAGAGAGCAGAGCGCGAGAGCATGCGAGTCAAGCTATGACTGACGCAGCACAGGCATGCGAGTGCGAGTGGCAGAGCGAGCATCAGTGCGAGTATAAAATTGAGTGTGAGTTGTTGTTGCTGTTGTTGTTGGGCCAATGGATTTCAAGGAAGTGAAATTGCTGCAGACAGGAGTTTGCCTAAGCACGCCCGTCGACCCGCCTGTCGCTTCCTGTATGTGTATACGTGTGAGTGTGTATGTGCGTGCGTATGCGTCTGTGAACATTTTGTTGTTTGTTGGAAAAAAACACGTTGGGCTTGCCTATGTACAACACACACACACACACACACTCTCTGCTGCTCACCTCTTCTCTCCTCTCTCTCTCATTCTACTGCTCAGTGGCTCCACTTAAAAGTGTTATATTGACATTTGGCTACAATTTGAGCTGTCCAAAGCTTTATGATTTATGCTGCGCTGCATATGTAAATGTGTAATGTGTGCATATGCATATGACTGTGTGCGTGCGCGTGTGCGTGTGTGTGCTGTAATCGTTTGCTCTATTTTTGGGGCTTAGTTGAACAACAGCAGCGCGCTGCAAAGCGTGCTATGAATTCTTGTTGTGGGCGGCTATATTTCGTGTATACAACTAGTTAAATAAAATGAAATTTTCCTTTATACATGTATATACTTTTTTTTTTTTTTTTTTTGCACTTGACCCCCCTTTGTTTGGTGTTTTTTTTTTTTTTTTTTGCTGAATTGGATTCTTGTATTGTATTTTATTTGTTATATTTTATTTGATTTGATTTGCAGCTGCTGCTGCCTTTTCATGTGGCAAATGCGCGGCACGTTTGCACTAGGAAGTTTCTATTTCGATTTCTCTTACTTTGACAAGGGCACGCAAAAAAAATTTATATGCTTTTAAATGTTGCGCGAGTGTGTGTGTGTATGTGTGTGTGTGTGTGTGTGTGTGTGTGTATTATGCTCGTCAAGTTTTATGTCAGTTCATTCATCGGCCAAAATGTTGGGCATGGGACGCAGGCTGTTGTCGCCTCTGCATGTGTGTGTGTGAGTGTCAGTGTCAGTGTGTGTGTGCGAGCGTGTGTATGTGTGCGTGTGCTGCGTGCTCCTGCCAATGTCAGATTTGTATTTCAGCGTCGATTTCGTTTTGGCTGCCTTCATATTTTTGCTCTCCACTTCGATTCTTTTCTGTTTCTTTGCCTCTTTTCCGCCTCGTGCTGTTTCTGTTTCTCTGTCTGTCACTTTGTCACTTTTTAATCAAATCGAATTCGGTATTTTCCAGCTGATTTTCAATTGGCATTCCGCATTTCATTTCGACACACGCAAAAATCATTATTCGGTGCGTTCGCAAGTATGCAACGTTTCTTTGCGCTGTCTTTGCGGGCCATGCTGCTGCCTTCAACACACACGCACACACACATTCACATACATGGGCGAGCGGAGAGATAGGCTAGGCCAGGCTGGGCTAGGAGACACACGCGTTCGCGGCACGTTTGCGAACTGGTCGACAAAAAGGGGGCGCGGCTAGGGGGCGAGCGACGTGCAACGCAAAGTAGCAGCAGCAGCAGCAACAACAACAGCAACAACGACAGCAACAACAGCAACAACAACGACCACGGAATAGCCTAAAATAATGGCAGTCAACAACGACAACGGCGACGGCGACGACGACGGCGACTGCGACAGCGACAGCGACAACCGACAACGTTGAAAGTCAGCAAAAGACTGGAGAGCCCAAAGGCTGCGGAGCCACAGTCTGCAAAAGGCGAATAGTGGCACAGCACAGAGAGCAGAGCGCGCTAAGCGTCGCTCTCTCACGAGAGAGGGAGAGAGTGGTAGTGAGAGTGAGAGAGCGAGAGTGCTGCAAATCCTGTGCAGAAGCTCAACTGATTCCGGAACTTGTTAAGCGTTTGCTTAAAAGTTAGTTTGACGCCTATAATAATGATTATGATGATGCTGCTATTAATGATGATACTAATTAACTAGCCAATTGTGTTTATATTAGGCAAACAGCTTAGAGAAAATTTACATTAAATACATAAAAAGAGTTCCAATGAAGCTAAGGGACAAATAATTATACGAAGCCAGATTTCATAGGATTTCTAGTGTATTATCTATGTGCATAACAATTCATGGAATATGCTTGTATTGTTTATTGTATAGTACTCTTAAATATAAAAAATGCTTGACTAGAAATTTATATTCTATCCATTTGCCAAGCTAACGTCAAATTATATATACTTTCCTCTATATTTCCTTTGTTTTTTTTGTATATGGTGTGCCTTGATGTTTTGTACAACTCTGGAATTTCAAGCTCCGTTTCAATTCACACTTCAAATGCTAAATTAAACGGATCTCCTTATAAAACAAGCATATATATATTTCCGGAGAGATTGATGTACTCTGAGAGAAATGGATTCCAGTAATAAGTACCATAAGACCTACCAAAACTACACGGCCAACTTGACGGTTAGCTACGACTGCACTTAATCGGCGTCAACTTTTAATGCTTCCTTTTTATCTGCTAGAATACAACAACTGAAATCAATGATCAAAAATTCAGAAAGCAATTGGATCATTATGCTGTGTGCAATCAGAAGGAATTGCTGCAGGTCAAGCAGAAGCCGCCTCGACCCAAGGAGCTGGTGCAAAAGGCAACACAGACTTGTCTACGTCGCAGCCAACTGAAGCAGAAGCAGCAGCAGCAGCAACAGCAGCTGCAACAACAGGAACAGCAGCAGCTACAGCTGAAGCAGCAACAGCAGCAACAGCAGCAGCAACAGCAGCAGCAACAGCAGCAGCAACAGCAGCAGCAGCAGCAGCAGCAGCAACAGCAGCAGCAACAACAGGAACAGCAGCAGCTACAGCTGAAGCAGCAACAGCAGCAGCAGCAACAGCAGCAGCTACAGCTGAAGCAGCAAGAGCAGCAGCAACACCAGCCGCTACAGCTGAAGCAGCAACAACAGTTGCAGAAAGAGCAACAGCTACAGAAAGAGCAACCGCAACAACTACAGAAGCAGCAACACCAGCAGCGCCAGCACCGTCAGCATCAGCATCAGCATCATCATCAACATAAACATCGTCATCATCAGCATCAGTCGACTCAATATCAGCATCAAAAACATCCGATAATGGAAACTCTTGCGAATCGAGCTGAGAACAGATCGAAGATTGAAACGCGACCCCGCTTCGAGAAGTCGAAGTCATTTTTCAATGCGGACTATGTAGCGCAGCCTAGAGTCACCTATCGCCTGCCCCCGTTGCCCCCGGAGGTCAAGCCGGATCGCGAGGGCGCCGACGGAGACTGTTTGCTGTATAAGAACTCAAAGTTTGGCAAGGATTCGGCGTGTGCTCACAGCGATCATAGCGAGCACAGCGAGCAGCTGCTCGCCATTCCCCCAGACCACTCGCCAATGAAGCTAAGGACCTCGACGTCCATGCTGGAGTCAACACGCGAGCGCTGCAGACTTGCCACAGCTCAGTTCAACGCAAAATATGGGGGCTCAGATAGCCCATCCTCGAAATCGGCGAAATCGGCCAAGACTGTGATCTCGACCAAGAGCGGTGAGAACTTGCGCTCAGTGGTGCAGTCGGAGATTGAGATGCAGGTGCGATTGGAGAAGTCGATTAGTAAGATTATGATGTTGCCCTCACTTGGCTTGTCGGAAGAAACCGACTGTGCTCCGGTCGAAGCTGAAGAAAAGTCGAAGATTCCTAAAAGTGTGTCAAAAGAGAATTGTGTTTCGGTGCCCGCTGCAGCGGCTAAGCATAATTTAAATTTCTCTCTCGAGGACGTAGTCAGCACCAGGGTTATCGCGCCCATGATGCGACGTGTGCAGCGCATGTATCTTAACAATCTGCAGGAGGAAATGAAGCTAATGGAAGATCTCGAACGCGTGCCGTGCATGGTTGGCGAGCTCTACAGAAGCTCGGTAGAGTCAAAGAAAAAGCCAAAGAATACATTATAGTTTATTGTTCCATATATATTTTTTAATGATTTGTATAAACACACAAAACGCCCAATAAGAACAAGAGTTTTCAAAATATAGCGCCATTCACACGATAGCAGTGTGACCAGCTCAGCTAGCTGGATAAATGAACGCAGCATTAGTATTGCAATCGCTTATCGATAATGAGTCGCAAGTCGAATGTCGCAGTTGTCAGCTTAAAAAATTCATTTTCTAAACTTTTGGTAAAATATAAAAAATTTGTAACTGGAATTGCATGATTTACGTATGCGAATAGAACAGTGCGCTGTTAATAACAGTGGTAATGTTATTTAGTATCAGCACGCAGCCCTGGTTTCAAAAGGAGGGAGGCGCTCGCATTCCCAAACATTGATTTTTCGTAGTGGACGCCATCGAATGCTGCCAAATTAACTCTGTTCGCACATTTGTTGGGAAGTGCAGGAATTTGACTGTTACAAAATGAGTGGTAAGCTGCTTTTCGAGTTGTTCAGTCGGCTAATTAACGTTTGCTTGCTGCGGCTGCTGCAATTGGCCCTTGAGACGGGTTTGTCTATCGGCGTGCATTGCAATTCGCAGTCTACTTTTGAGGGTGGGCATAGCGCCACCCTCTGCCACAGCACCTGCCATTGCACAGACGATGACTTCATCAGTGTTTACACGCCCCTGGTCACACTGCTCTCCTCGCTCCCCTCTCTTTGCAGGCGACGAGAGCTGCAGCGAAAAGCAGACGCTGGACCTATCCAAGCAGCAGCTGAAGAAGGTGCCAAAACAGGACGATGCCCAGAATATACGCAAGCTGATACTGGACGAGAATGAGCTGCAGAAAATCGACAACATTGATTCGTATCTGAAGATCGAAACGGTGACGATATAGATAATAAATAATACACATATACAAAATGTCAATATTCTCATGAATGAATTTCTAATGAATGTCCTTTAACCTTTTCAGCTGTCGCTGGCCAAAAATCAATTGCTGCGCATGTATGGCGTCTGTCGACTCCACTGCCTTCGCGAGCTGAACCTCTCCTTCAATGGCATACTCTCGATTGAGGGCCTGAAGGAATGCGTTCATCTGCGTGTGCTCAATCTGGAGGGCAACAACATCAAGACCATCGAGCATCTCAATACGAATGTGAATCTGGAATACTTGAATCTGGCAGACAACAGCATTGGCAGCATATCGGATATGTCCTACCTTCGCTCGTTGCGCGAACTCCATTTGCAGGGCAATCGCCTGACCCATCTGCGACAGTGCGACAAGTACTTACCCGTCTCTCTGGAAACCTTGAATCTGGCGAAGAATAACATAAACGATCTGAATGAGATTTGCACGCTGTCGCATCTGTCGAATCTGCTGAGCATCTCCATAACTGAGAATCCTTGTGTGATCATGACAATGGGAGCAAATAGCACGGAGTAAGTAAAGCTTGTAAGGAGCTCAGCTGTGCTCAAACAATTGTATGTCCTTCCTCCGCAGCGGCTTTGATTACCGCCCATTTGTGCTGAACTGGTGCATGAGTCTGAAATACATCGATGGCTACGTGGTGGATCCCATTGAGAGCCTCAAGGCTGAGTGGCTCTACAGTCAGGGACGCGGTCGTCAGTTCCGTGTGGGCGAGCAGGCTGCTCTGGCCAAATACCTAAGCTCGGCCTGCCCACTGGTGGGCAAGGCACTGGAGAAGGAAAACGATCGTAAGTTGCGCTTGATCCTAAGCAAAGCGCAGCATCATCAGCGTCAGCTGCAGGAGGAAATAATGGACAATGCAAATGCGAGTTCGGCTAGCACATCGCCCTCGTCGCATCGCAAGAAGCCTACAAGTCGCATCCAGTCACCGCGCTGTGAGCTCTTGATAGATATTCCGTTGGTTAACTAATTTGTAATTGATGTACTCCCCATAGTTTCCCGTTTGAGTGGACGCCAAGGCTCGCCGGAGTCCATGGCGAACAGCTACCATGGCAACAGCTGCAACAACAGCATCAGCAGCGACAACGGCATCTCGAGCCATCACTCGCTGCAGATGAGCACCTCGCTGATAGAGAACATCCGCAACGAGGGCGACAACTACTCGCTGGCCAGCCTGTCTGGCATGTCCAGCAGCGTGACCACCAAGACCTACAACTCGACCGAGTCAACGCCTCGCAACATAACGCCGAATCCCTATAATGGTAGTACACCTTGCACTCCCAATCATGGCCAGCTCTAATTGTGGCTTCTCTCCCATTGCATTACAGAGCAAGCGTATGTGGGTCAAACGCCTGTCGGTGGGCCTTTGGCTGCTGCCTCAAAAATGGTGCCTGTGCCGGAGACCCTGATGAGTCCCGATGTCTGTCCCGCCGTCGTTGCTCAGCGAGCCACAGTGACAGCGCTCAACGCGCAGCTGCACAAAAGCAAAGGCAACAAGAACAAAGGTAAATGATTCTAGATCTCTCTCTCTCTCTCTCTATCCTTGATTCAAATGTATTTTAAATTCATATTTCTACATGTACTCAATGTCAGACAACAAACTAAATTTGCCGCGCGTGCGCAGCCCACAACAGCGACGCATGCAGAGCCCCACAAGCAGTCCACGCAAGACGGAACGACTACAGCAGCAACAGCAACAGCAACAACAGCAACTGAATTCCTCTTCAATCAGCACAACGGACGCCGGCGGCTTCAGCACTGATGAGGATGGCGAGCTCATCAACGTGGAAAAGCTAAGGACCATACGCAAAATGGCAGCTGAGCGGGCGCAGCAGCAACAGCAGATGGACAACAACTTGAACTGCGCCGATCGCCTGATAGAGCATGTGACCGAGTCCTCGGCTGTGACCATACAGAAGATGTGGCGGGGCTATCACACGCGCAAGAAAACCAAGGACATTGCCGAGAAGCTGCACAAACAGCGCACGCACGAGTACATAGAGTAAGCAACGATATATCTACTATATACTCCGTTCTCCCCCTCTCAAACTCACTCTGTCTGCCCGTAGCAAACTCAACAAGGACATGCTAATGACCAAGGTGCAGCTGCAGAACGAGCGCAAGATACAACAGCTGCAAATGCAGGCCATCAATGCGCTGTGGAAGAAGGTGTCCACCATGCAGGTGGACCCGAAGGCTGGCGGCGAGCACTGCACGAATTCTGAGGATGCGAGCAGCAGCAACAACAGCAACAGCAATCAGTCACAGGTGTGCCTCGATCAGAACTCGGCCGCGGTTGTCAATGATTTGGCTAAGCGTTGCACAATGCTGACCGATCAGGTGCAACAGCTCCAGAGCTCGATCGGCACCATTGTCAATTGCCTGACCATGGTCTGCAATCTGCCGCAGGATGCGCTCAAGAAGCACGTCAGCAACCGAAGCAACTGCTCCGACAGCGATGACATCGAATATACCAGCTTTGAGCCACGTGATACGAGCTCCACGCAAACGGATTTGATTGCTGTGCACACGCCGCAGCTCGAGGATCTCAGCAATTTCCCGTTTACCAAGCCCCGGCCGTCGACATTGGCGCTGGAGTCCAAGCATGACGCAGTGCAGCCGCAGCCACAATCGCAGCAGCAGCATCAGCCGCCGACAAAGCCGGAAGAGACTGAGGACGAGGAACAGAAGGAGAACATTGAAATTTGTGATGCACAGGAGTAGGAGTTGGACTGCTGGAGAGCAACCCACTTCGCACGCTTTATAGGGCACAGAGATCTCTAGCTTTTTAGCTTATTGCAAGCATCGCCGTGGAGGCAGCCGCAGCAAACGTAACAACAATTAAAGCAAACAATTATATGTACATTATTTTATGTTTTATTATTTTTTTTTGGGCCCATATCCGTACGTATAGTAAACCAAATTTGTTTACTAGTTTCCTTAATTTATTTTATACTTTTTTTACGTTCATACGCAGGGAACGCTTATTATACATATATTTTGTTACTGGGTTTCTTACTCACTTTTTTTTTATATCTTTTATGTACGCGCATAATTTAATTTGTTGTTACAACAATTGCGAGAGGAAATTAATTCGTTATAAAATATACATTAGCTAAACTTTTTGTAATGCACAATGAAATGCATAATCCAAATTCATTCTTCAGTCTTCGGCGCTGCTCTCCTCCGTATCCGTTTCATCCTCATCATCATCATCCATATTCACGGGTCGATTTGTGTTGGGCGGCAGCGATTCATCGCTGTCGGAACCAGAAGTGCCGGAATGTTCGGCTTTGCTGCTTGGCGTCGTCGCCTTCTTGGCAAAGCGTTCCGGCCATATGCCAGCCTTTGTGTACTCCTTGATGTGCTCGGGAGTTAGGATTTTGCTAATCTCCGCCTTTACTTTGTCGCCCTCCTCGATGGGTTCGACCAATATATAATCGCCGCGCTTTACCCACACATTCTTGCGAAATTTGTTGGGCATAGAGACTGCAAGGGATATCATGGATAATAACATTAAAGAGCACATCTATATATGGCTAGTCCTCATCTCACCCAGAAAATTCTCAGCTGTCGCCGATTCCACCTCGTGCAGATTGTTGCCTCGGCTGCTGACTACACGCACGATCTGCTGCTGTTCCGTGGGCAGGGAGTAGTCATCCTCCATCATCTCCTTGAGCACATGTTTGCGCCGCGTTGTGTTTGGATGTGACATGCTTGTAATATAGTGGAGTTTCTTCTTCTACGGAGCGCCAGATTTTTGTTTACTCAATTTGGTCGAGTGTTAAAATGTGTTGGCGATGGTGGTGGTGGTCGCCCGATAGCTCCTATTTCGATAACTTAGCTGCTGTTATTATTGACTCGCTGTGGCGGCCGGCGATAACTTAAATATAGATAACTAAGCAATCGGCTATCGTTTCAGCGCTTCTGTGTTGCAAAATTTCTGGTAATTTTTGGCGCTAGTATTTTTGGTATTTTCTCATATTGTGCGTAAAATTTAAAATTGAATAAGTTGTTGAGTAGTTTTGAATGGTGCGAGGAGTTTTCTGATTTGTTTATTGTTAAGCTTAAACGAAATGTACGGCTAATTTTGGACTAACAACTAGTTTTTGCTGCGTCTCACGCGAGCTTTGCACGAAGTGCGATCCCTAGTGGAGCTATCGCGGCGATTTTCCACCGCCAATTGCTTCGGCTTTTTGATACTAAAAATAAACAGAAAAGAAAATTAAATAACCGTTAGCTGCGAATCTCAAACAGAGTCTTGTGATAATTGACTTACATTTCGTGTTTGAGAATAGTAATTTCTTTTTTCCATATATCCTTAAAATCATTGGTAAAGTTCGTCCAATAACCAAAGAACTGGTCGGGCGTGCATTGTGACAAGGTCAGGGTGCAGCCCTTGGGGGAGAAGTGGTAGAAGCGCATGGTTTCCAGGAAGAGCTCCCGGCACTCCTGAATCAGCTGATGCAGCTTGGCAACTGACTTCTCGGCGCTGGCCGTAAACTCCTCCATTTTGGACTTGAATGGCTCGCGATGTTCACTGGATGCGCTCAGCACCAAGGCCGTAGTCTGTTTGCAAGCTGCAAGGAGCAGGAGGAGACTCCGAATTAGTTGCCGTAGACATTCATAGAGTCCGCATTCAACTCACCCGTTAGCTTTCTGTTTAGATCGTTGATCTGGTGCTGCACCTCGTCAAAGTCCAGCTGGGCAGCTCGCTCCACATCCGAGGGCTCGGGTATGGGCAGCGTTATCTCGTGCAGGGTCATCTCCTTGCGTCGCTGAGCAATGTAGGTGCGCACTATGAAATGAAGGAGGGTCGTGTGCGATTCCTTGGACTTGACATCCTTGAGCTTGCCCAGAATGTCCAGATTGAAGCCATCCGCCTGGCCGCGCTGTCGATTGCCTCCGTTCATATAGTTGCCCAGCGTTAAAATGATGGAAAAGACCAGCTTGAGATCCTCGCTCTCGATCAGCTGCTGGGAGAGCTGGGACACCGTCTCCAGCTTGCGCACGAGCAGCGTGACAGACTCCTCGAACTCCGCCTGGAAGACAATGCAGGAGATGCGCTCGCTGGCCATGGATATGAGCGATATGTCGCGCAGGAACTGCTCCGGATGATCGAGTGGTATATCGCCGCCATCGGCCTCCCGGATGCGCTGCAGCTCCTCATCCGTGGCGCGCATGAAGCTGATCTGCTGCAGCGTCTCCAGGCTAATCACTGACGTGTCCACATGGTAAATGGCATGCTCTATCTCACTGGCGGGCACGTGCAGGCTTCTCGAGAAGATGCCCACGTTGCGCGAGCGCTTCGGGTCGAGCACCTTGATGGACTTCTCACGCTTCGGCTTCAGCTCCTTGGGCTTGCTGACTGGCGCAATGGCTTGCCTCGAGAAGAGCTCCGTGAACTCGTCTATATTGTCCAGCGGCGTCTCGTCGATCTCCGTCCATATCTCCTTGCAGGGCGGAGGAACTGGCGGCAGTGCAGCTGGCACTGGCAAATCCTCCGGCGAACTAGTGCTGTTATCCGCGCTGTCCGTCGAATTGGCCACCGACGGCGGACGCGGCACGGGCGGAGCAGAGGTAACGATGCGCGTCCAATACAGCGGACGCATCGGCTTGGGCGGATTGACGGCGCTCTTGCGCTGAACTGGAAGGGTTCACAGGGTTAGATACTTCATTTGGTGTTTGAGTACGCTGGACTACTTACCGCATGTGCGTAGGAACCAATTTCCCTCGGCGGGATCTGGCAGTGGTGCAGGCGCCAGCGACGAGCCCGACTTGGACGTGCTTAAGGGTGGTGGCGGAGGCGGTATATTGCCGGGGCAAGGTGCACCTGGCGGTGGTGGTGGCGGCGGACCGGCACTGCCTGGCGGTGGAGGCGGCGGTGGCGGTGGTGCAGCGCCACCTGCATTGCCAGGCGGCGGAGGAGGCGGCGGCGGCGGTGGCGGTGGAGGCGGCGGTGGTGGAGCACCGGTTGCTACCTCTGCTGCACCTGCAGAGATCTCTCCACACTTGCACGAACCCTTACACAGCAGCTCCTCCTCCGTCTGGCTGCCCGCATCCGCATAGCTCTTGCTCTCCGTGGGCCTGTTGTACTCGTAGATGGTCGCCTCGCTGGCATTGAGCAGCTCGGTCAGGTTGATGCAGCGCTTGGAGGGTCTGCGCGGCGGCTCATCGACGCTGCTCAGCAGCTCATTGACCACCGCATGTACCTCGGCCAGGGTGGCGCAGTTGAGCAGACGCTTGCGCAGGATCTGCTGCAGCGTCTTCTGGCTGTCCGTTTGCGCCGCGCTGCCCTCGTAGTGCGCCTTCTGCACGGCGGGTGTGCTCGAGAAGGGCCACGCGCTCACCTTGTCCAGCTTGCCAGGCGTCAGCGGCAGCGAGGTGGTGGGCTGCTCCGTATGCGTCCACTGGTACATCTCGTAGGGCTGCACACACACAAACACAGAGAAAGAGAGAAAAACAAAGATGAAAACTTGGAATATAAATAAGCGTAAAAAAGCTGGCAAAAAGCAGATCATCTTGCCATTAGCCCATTGACTTCTAATTGCAGCTCGAGTGCAATTCTCCCTCTCTCACTCTCTCTCTCCTACTCTTTCTCTTTCTCTACTTTTTTCATCTGTCTCTCAAGAGCTTAAAAGCCAGCTACCCCACAACCTAGTCACATTTACAGTGTTGAAGTGTCTAAAGCTCATCTCTTCAAAATTTGTGCACATGTCATTGTGCTGCCACGCCCCACATAGCCCCCTCGCTGGGGGCCACAGGTTGACAGTTTTTATACCTTTTCAAATAACCAAGCAATGCAAGTTTCAGTTCGCTCGAGTCGCTCGGCTAGCTGGTAAATACTTTATCTTGCTGACAAATTTAGCTGTCAAGAACTTTAATACTTTCTTTGTCTTAGTCTGATTCGACATACGTTAATAAATATATATAAATAATTTGTCAATTTTCTCTTAATTTGTCAATTTTCTCTTAAATATATAAAATTATTATTTCTCGATTTTTCATGACGTGCTTTGCAGGCAAAGCAATAAATTTATAAAAATTTATAAAAATGTAAAAGCCAAAGCAGGAAATGTGTGAATGAACTATGTTTCGACTATTTCAAAATGTATAAAATTCTGTGAATTTTAGTATATATGAAAAATGATGACATATTTATTATTATATTTAAAGGGAGTTGAACTGAGTGAAATATATTGAGATCTTTGTAATATATTAGCTAATATTCTAATACTGCGAAGGTACATAGATAGATATGTATATAGACGAGATCTGTATTTTCTTTCCTTTCTTATATTTTTTATTCCAAAAATCATTAAGATAGGGAAAGGATATATATATATATATATATATATATATATATATGTATATATATATACATATGTATATAGACGAGATCTGTCTTTTCTTCCCTTGCGTAACCTAAGTATATTCAATTTCATTATCCATATCATATCCATTAATGTCTATTCCAAAAATCATTTAGATAGAGAAAGGAATCTAGAAAATATTTGCCTAAAATTAAGAGAACTTTAACAAATTTTCGTCGCATTTTAAACTGCTGTCAATAATTATTTTCTACATTTCCTTTGCCATATGTAAATGGGAAAGAGCATTTGAAATTCGTTGTTGCCTCACATCGTTTTGTTATGCATTTGCCTCTGTTTTATTGCTACACCTTTTTGCATCTTTTAGCCATTTTGCATTGTCATGCGTGAGATTTTCAGTTGGGTTTTAGCTTGAGATTAGAGTTGTTGCCAACAGCGAAGAGAGCTCAAAGTTGAACAGGGATAGGGATTGGGATTTGGACTGGCATCGGGCTTAGGTGCAGGTGCGGGGGGCGGGGCGGGGATTGGGGTTTGGCTTGAAATGCGACAGCCGCATGCAAATTGTTTGGCAACGCCAAAGTGCAAACACTTGAGCAAATGGCGTCAAGTGCGATAACGTGACCACGGCCCTGCGCCCACAGAGGGCGGGAGAGAGAGGGGGAGAGGGAGAGAGAGAGAGAGAGAGGCAAGGGCAAGTTCAGCTTCAGTTGCGGCACTTTGCATGCATTCGTCATCCCAATTGGTTGCCCCATCAGCTCCAAATGATTAGCGGAGATTGTGTGCGACTGAGTGTGTGAGTGGCTGTACGACTGTGTGTGTGTGTGTGGACTGTGAAATGACGCCACATAATTGAATTTCAATTTTTAATTGCATTTCGTGGCATTAAGCCAAGTGTCTGGTGCGACGCTGCGCAGCCACAGACTGGGCCGGCGCACTCGAAGGAGTTGATGGGGAAATTTAGTTTTATTTCTTGACTTAAGCATAAGAGAGTGAGACAGAGATAGAATATAACCCTTCAGTTCTGATGCTCTATAAGAAGATTTAGAGAAACTATAGGCAGGCCAAGCTGGGGAGATCTTTGAGTTCACACTGTTGGATAGACGGACAAATGAAGAGACGGAAGGATTGACAGATAGACGACCGATAAACAAACGGAGAGCTATCATATAGGCTGATGTTGACTGTATAAGTCAAGCGAACGAACAACTAGACAGACGATGGGACAGAGAGCTGCGCGGAAGGGGGAAAATGGACGTACTCATGTATATATTGACGGAAGAAGGGAAGGTGGGCAGACAGACGGAAGGACGAAAAGACGGCAGGTGGAATAAACAGCCAGACAGATGGATGGACCAAGGAACGAGCAGGAGACGGTCAGGGGGATAGACGAACGAAGGGATAGATGGACGGATGGAGACAGACAGATGGACGGAGGATCAAACGGACGGACAAAAAAACCAGCAGACGGACGAAAGGC